ATGTGTCGGAATCCTAGAGGAACACATGGTCACAACTTCTGAGTGGTATTGCGCCAGTGCTTGATTTTGCACGAACGACAGCCGCTCCAGGTGCGCCCCGAAGCCACAGAAGCAGACGGCGCCCAAATTGATGCTTTTTCTTGTCCAGCATGCGGCGGGCAACATCATCTAAGAATTGAGAGCTGTACAAAAAAAACTATAATTGAACGACTGTGAGATACAGTCAGAAGTGAAACCATCAAGATGATCATAGTTTCAAGATGCCAGAATATGTGTTACTCCTTCCTTTTTTATACATGTGTTGAGTTTGGCAGGCTTGGGTGCACATGCATCATTCTAGTCTTGTTGCTGGCTGCCGTTTTGGCTCCAAAACGGCAGGCAGCTGATTTTGCCCACCCACCCACCCTGATCCGACCCGGCTTTGGTGGAGTCCCCCGGTCTGGTTGGGGTTGCGCGTATTGCGACTACCTTGAGGTCCGAGGGTGTGACCCTGTTTCCCTGGGACGGGTGTCTCGTCCGGGGGTTGATGCATCAGAAGGGGGGGGACCTTTTCTTTGCATTCGATGCCTCGAAGTTTTACCAAAGCACTATCCCGGTGTGCCCGGGTTCTCCTTCATAGATTCGAACTAGATGCAGCTGTGAGTGCGAGTGTGAAAAAAAGTCGAGCACGAGCTGGTTAGGTTCAGCAGCACAAGAGGGAATGTTCTTACAACGCACCCTTTTACCAGCGTTCCAAGTGCTGCAGTTTCAGGGCAGACCCAAATCCAGGCCGGTTTAACGCATGCGGCTTGCAAGGGGCGGCTCGACGGAGGAGTCAGCGGGCTCGCCGTCGACATTGGCTGTGCCGCCAAGGGGCAAGGAGAGGAGGCTTGCTGCATGTTTGTATGTGTGTCTGTTGCTTCTAGTTCTGCATGTATAGACAAAATCATCAAGGCCCCGCTCAGTCAGAGAGTGCATCTGGGATGCATTTTCACGTCTCGCGGCGGATGGTGGCAACAAACACGACATTGCGCAAAATGTCGCGTGCAGTATTCATGGCTAGGTCTGTGCCAAGCTCAGCATGTTTGATCTCCGAGTTTGAAGTCGCCAGCGGCGGCGTTGTTGGGAATAGGCAACACAATCCAAGGGCGCATGAAACAGGGAGTCAGGGCCATTGGGGCCAAACCGGCATGGGTTAAGTACCATACCGTTGCGATGAAGTGCGGTGATGTTTGCCATCGAGCCATCGAAGCGTAGCACTCCAAGGAGAAAGTGCAGTGCAAAAGCTTTGAATAAAACAAATTGGAATGCCGAGATACGGCATCGCGTACATGACGCAACCAACCGTGTGGGGTGCACCAGTGACGATGCTCCAAGCCGAACGGGGAGCTATGCCAATACGGGCAAGCATGGCAAGCTCGAGCAGTACAACACTCCGAGCCGCTTCGCCGTCGCTGCAAAAACTCGTTTGCCGGGCGGGGGCGGCGGGCGGGGAAGACTGGTGCTGGGCCCACTCATGACCTGGGCTCTGGCGCGCTGGCCCGGGCACTCGGTGCCGCGTGGGCGCTCACTGCTGCTGGGAGGGCCAGCCTGTCCTGCTCCCGCTGTCGTACCGTCCACCTGCAGCCTCCCAAGTCTGTACGTGAACCAAAAGGGCCTTCGTGGAGCACAGCAGGCAAGACAACGTCGGTCAAGGACGCAAGGAAGCCCATGGAAGCCCCCCAAGCTAGCAAAACCACTCGAAAGACTTGAGCCTTTGAGCTCGAGCCAACGTGGTTTGGTCCGGCCTTGGTGGGCCGATTCCTGCCTGCAAAGAAGATGCAAAGCAGCCAGATTCGCTCCCGTTGTCGTATCATCACCGGCAATTTCGAAATACTCGGCCTCGGTTCCGCGTTGGGTTCAAGGTGGCACTGTGGCAAAAACAACATTCAGGCGACAACGTGTACAATCTTTTTGCTGAAGGAACTGATCGTTCCTTCCATGCCCATGTGTCACTGTACACGAGGCTTTGGCTGACTGACTGACTGACTGACTGCCTGCCTGACTGCCTGACTGCCTGCCTGACTGCCTGACTGCCTGACTGCCTGACTGCCTGACTGCCTGACTGCCTGACTGCCTGCCTGCCTGCCTGCCTGCCTGCCTGCCTGCCTGACTGCCTGACTGCCTGACTGCCTGACTGCCTGACTGCCTGACTGCCTGACTGCCTGACTGACTGACTGACTGACTCTTTTGACTGATGTGTTGGCGAATACACCATTTGTTTTTCAGGGCATGCAATGCAAGGTCATCCCGAACGGTGAATACGAGCAGTACGTGGAGCGTGTCGTGGATTCAAGCCGGTATTGGGTTCTGAAAATTGCTTGTGCCTCAGCACCATGAAGCTGAATGTTCCTGCTGTTGTCGATGTTTTGGATGCAGCAGGTGAACGGAGCGCGCCATGCTTTCATTGGCTTCGGTTTCAGCGACAGTGCACCAGTTTGCAAGCAGATCTTCAGTTGAACAGCACTGCGCTATCGCGGGCGATGGTGCCTTAATTATATTGCTGTTGATGATGTGTATTGAGCCGACATCCGAGGAGGCGACGCTTTTGATTTCAATGCGTGCTTGGTTGATTTCAAGGCCGAGTCACACACGGTTTGCATTCCCTGTTTTTGTATTCGTGGGGAATGAGATCTTTTCAGGCGACATGGGTGGACAAAGCGATAGAAGCAGCAGCAATGGAAGCATTGCCACAGTTGCTTGGATGGAGTGTTCGGAGAGTTCCGGTTCCAAACTGTGAAAAAGTTTGTGTTGCAAGGAAGGACTTGTCGCTGAAAGACGGGCAAACATTGATGGCCACTCGGTGCTGCAGACCCGTCGGTCATGCCATGGTAGTTCCTGGTCATGTATACATTGCATTTTTTACGATCGTAAATTGAAACTTGGATGCCGAGGTGAATTTGCCCGGAAGAAGCGGCAGGCATGTAGAGATACATGATACATCCGGTGAGACATGGGCAGCGTACATGCTGACGGAAGTTTTGATAGGCGAAGGGAACAAGGTGGGCAATCAAGTGAAACTGCAAGCGGCTATGGCATGCTAGCAGGCATCCCAGTGCCTGCCAGATAATGTGCAGCTGTACACATCCTTGGCAAAGGGGTTGATGTCACCCAGGCTCCACCACCATCTTCGGCGAGTGTTCCTCTGCAGGCCAAGGAAGCAACAAACACGGACTTCAAGCTTGTTGCGCCTGGGTTTGTCCACCATGGAGGCATGCAAAGCTACGCAGGCGAGTGCGCCTGTGATGGCAATATCATGTTTCAGGCTGCTTTCATTCCTGGTGCGATCTTACCTTGCAGACACAGGCAGATGAGTTTGACGATTTCGCCGACTTTCAGTCTGCTGCAGCTGCTGCTGCAGAGACCACTGCGCCATGATGGTGAACCATAAAATGTTCGTTTGGCATTGCTTCCTGGTGACACGTCGAGAGAAACATGCTGAATGTGTTTCGAAATGCAACACACGTTGTGTGCAAGCTTGGTGGAGTTACGAGGTTTCCAGTTCTGTGCCGCGCTCACTTTACGGCCTGTACGCTGAGTAAAGTCATCGAGTGATTCGAGTGTATGCTGCATGTTCGGATCAATGCACTTCCTCTTGTGCCCGGCTCGAACAGAAGTACATTTGCGGACGAGTGCAGATGAAGACAGCAAGAATAGCACAAGACAGCTGGCAAAACCAGTCTCCGAAACTCCAAATAATTACCACTACGCTTGACCGGTTTCGGCAGCAGCACCTCGAAATCTTCATTCTTTCAGCGCGGACCCCAGCCCCAAGGTGAGAGCACCGCAGGGTTGCAGTTGGCTGCGCCACGAGACAACACTAAAACCAGCGCCATCGTGTGATGCGGTTCTGATAGAGAGGTTGTCGGGGTGTGTTGCAGCTTCAGCACAAGAAGTACCTTAGTCGAACCGGATGCCAAGCATGAAACGATACCACAAAGTGTTGACTGTAGAGTTGGGGCACTTCGTCAGGCTTGTGGGGCTTAATAAGTGTGCCTGCAAGCTAAGTTCGCGCGCTCCCTTCTCGTGGTCCCTTGGCAATGTCATTGCTCACCTCGGCTTGCCGATCTCGCTGTGCTAAGCTTCAGGTTTAAGGCATGACGGTTGTATTGCGGTTTCGTGCACAGTGTTTGACATCCAGATTCCACGGTGGCGGAAGCAAACCAGCATCTTCGCTCCCAGATCAGGCAACTTGACGTCGAACCGCCGACACTTCGGGTCTACAATGTTCTACAGATCCTAGGTCGGACGTTTGTATGTCGCGATGTACTGGGTACAAGGCCTCGCCTGACTCTGTCGAGAGCGAGTGCCAAAACTGTCGCGATGTACTATCTCCTCATCACAGAATTGGCATGCCGTGAGTTTTCTCGCACTACGGTGTGTGTTGCCAGTCATTTTTCCTTCCTGCGATTGCCCTTTTGTTCATCGATCTTTGTGATTGTCTCTGTCTCTCTCGTGAGTTTCATTTTCTACCCTTGAACCTGCCCGCGTGATTGGCCCTACACACATCGTTTTGTTTTTCTCCGACCTGCTTATGCGCTGCCTGTTCTTTTTTTGTACCGGCCACTGAGACTCCTGTATCTACCTGTCCCTAATCTACATATGTCTATGCGGCTATGTACTCTCGAATTCTGTAACTGGGCAACCTGTAGCTTACTGGCTTACTGGTTTATGGGTACTATTTAGTTGAGGCTGATATAGCCTATATCCAGTATCATTTAGGCATATAGGGCTTAAGGAACAGTCATCCACTAAGGTAGACTTATCTCCGGGGGTGGTGTTGGCTTCGCTGCGTTCCGATACTTCCACTTGGGATGTTTCTCTAATCCAACTCCAAGGTGCTGGCAAGCATTCCTAAGGGCGCAGGAATTGAATGTATTAACACCAAAATCTGAAGTCAAAGTCCTGATACTGGAGCCTCGCTAAAGTCAAGATCATGAACTCTACACCCCCAGCACCCCAAGCATCCGTACACCCGATATATGAGCCCCAAACCGACATGTGATTACGCCTTCCTTCTTCCGACAGTTTCAGAGCGAGTGCAGGCAGAGGTCGTGATAGTACGTGCACATGGCTGCGTGGCAGTGCAGTTATGAACACCCCCAACTGTCGACTGCTAGGTGTGATGGCGGAGCGTGGGTCCTTGGATTCCTTGGTGATCAGTGTAGAGTCAAGCCTGCTACAATGCTGCGTCTTTTCCCACAGGCTCGGCGGCAGCGGTTCCCTTCCTGCGGCGGCAGAGGCCGTGTTTACTTTGTCTGGTCGAGTCTTAGCGCATCCTGGATTCACATGTTGCCACCGTCATGTACAGGAAAGCTGACACACGGGACCAATCTCACATGACATGGCTGCTTTGCTGATGCAGGCAGTACCGGAAAGCACTCCGGATGCTTGCAGCTTAGTCAGTTAGTCATGTCCACCGCTCTTTCATGCGCACGGAGAGTTGCACAGGTGCTGGATGAGAGTGCGGTGAAGGATTCAGGTGAAGTGGAGGAAAGGCGGTACCAAGAATTTGGCTCTTTGGCCATGCGTTGCCACGGTGTTGTGCCAGGACGTGTCGAACACGCGGCATCCTCACGGGGATTCCATGAGTCACCATGTTGAGCTGATGTTTGGTTCGCTGGCACTTGCGTGGCCTTTCGAGGGTGGCTTCTGTGGCGCCAAACGCTGCTTCAGGGTCAGCATCCAAGCGGAGATGCAGAAACCGGGTAGCTGAGTAGCTACTGCTCCGTTTTGGCCGCTTGGCTATGTTCGGATCTGTGTTCCGCGAGAATGCAGCGTAGTACGGCCTGATTTCGAATCAAGAATATTCAAAGCATCATCGATGAGGTTACCCAGCGGACTTGGTATGGTGCACCTGAATGTTGCACAGATTGTGATGTCAGGTGTGGGTTTGGAGACATGACCGCATCCTCACTCAGTTAAAGAGCCTCGCTCGATACTGTGCTGCCAGTTTTTGCGGCTCAACGAGCTCGAGGAGGGCTAGACTAGCAGTGACTGGTAGCAGATCTCAGGACAAGAGGCTTCTCAGCACAGCCACGTCGCACAAGCACTAGGTCACTGGGTCACGAAGCTGACAACTCGCGATGCCGCGCGAACGTGAACTGGAAGGGTCGGCCCGGGATGTGGACGAAGTGGAGAGCCTGGTGGACAAACTCCGCAGTGGCCAGTTCTCAGATGCCATCTCTGCAGCTCAGCGAGCGACCGAAGCACAGGAGCAAATGTGTCTCAGGCCTGATGGCTCAGTGCAAAAGGCCGACCCTTTGTCAGCATTTGTACATGTTGCTTCCGCACCACCAGATTCAAAAAGCGTTGAGCCCGATGACGAACTCAAGAAGTTGCGTGAAGCCAGAAAGGCCCAGCTGCAGAAGGAGAGCCTGTGGAAGAAGCAGGGCCACGGATCTCTGCGCGAGCTGGCAGATGAGAAAGAGTTTGTCGAAACGATTGCACCGCACGAGCAAGCACTTCTTCTGCTCGATGACGGTCGGTCACCTGCAGGTGAGGAATGCCGAAAGGTCTTGGGTCGGTTGGCCGGTAAGCATCTGGAGACCCAGTTCTGCTGGCTAGCAGCGGACCGTGCTTTCTTCCTTACGCAGATGGTCGATCTCGAGGCACTTCCGACAATCTTTGCATTGAGATATGGAGAAGTGGTGAGACATTTGCCGCCGTCCCGACTCTTTGCATACTCGTCTGCAAGCTCACCTCTATTTCCCAGACATCTTTCAAAAGCCCTTTACAGCATCAATATGATTGGCAATCCTGACGACGACAGTGCATCCAGCGGCGATGCCTCCGGGGATGGCTTCTAGTCCCTGCCCAGCCCTGCCCCACATCCTGCAGTCTGATTTTGACTCTGAGCATGTGCTACAGAAACGGTGCCCCTCTGGACTTGTGCACTTGCTGCAAGATCATGCTTTAGCCTGCTTTGGTTGCCTACCAGTATCTGAGGCCCAGTGCAGAAAAGCTCAAAGCAATTGAGGTTCAACCGGCTTGCTGCTGTTGCTGTCGCATCCCGAAGTCGCACTTTGCCTCGCTCCCGCAAATGGCAGGAGCTCAAAGCTGCCATTCGTGCTGCGGCAGCCAAGCCGAAGGCAAAGCGCAAAGAAACAGAGGAGCAGCCGGAGCATCCGGAGCAGCCGGGGTAGTTTCAGACTTTCCACTGGCTCCCATCCTGCAAGGAGCTCGTGCTGTTCTGCCAGTGTGTGAAGAGCCTGGTGCGGTGCTCACAATGTAGAGCTGTGCAGTTGAGTCTATCTCCAGTTGAGTCTGGCTGCCAGGCTGGCAGCAGTGAGATCTGTGTGCAACTTAAAGAGATTCTGCCAAGGAGACTTTTGAAGCGGCTCTCTAGGAAAGCATCAAAGGCTCTTGTGGGAACTGCTTCCTTTCCGGCCAGGATCGGCGAAACCCATTTGGTACCTCTCATGGGGATTAAGCGACCAGCACCTCGGGTCGTGGAGAAGCCCAGCGTGCCGGTCACGCGAGAAGCTCAGTCGGGGTCGTTTCCCGCATGCAGCGATATGCAGCATTCCCCGTCTTCTGCAGGGCCAACCGTGCAGTCGGGAGGGTGAAGAGCTACAACACCAGAAAAGGTGGTCTCTGCCTTTGCTGTGATGAATCCGAAGTCTAAGCATTCTTGGGGCCAGGCTTTGGCTTCATCACCGTGCCAGACTTTGGGCGTGACATTTTCGTTTACAACTCCCATCTGATTGGCCGTATCGGTCGGGGCCCAGATTCAGCAGAAGGTTTGCTTGAACTTCCGTGCTTTAGGCAGGGTTTGCATTCTCCAGTCAAGCTTTGTGCATCAAGTCCAAGCAGAATCTATAGTGGTGCCCAGGACTCCTTGCGGGGGAGACTGTGTCCTTTGACCTCATTGTCGAGGGTGGCCGGCCGCAAGCGCGGAATGTCTGGAACCTTGCTGCCAGCAGTACCCACGCAAGCCATAGAAACCTAGACTGAGGTGAAGGTGCTGGGAGGGGATGGTGTCGCCCTGACCCAAGCTCTGGCTGGCCGTCGTTGCTAGCCTTTCCATTGGGGCACATGCGAATCCCAAGGTGACTGACATGATCGGCCAGAACTCGGTGGCAGAAGTGAAGAAGGCCCGGCAAAACCACACATCCGCTCAAGAAGCTATCAGGGTGGCCATGTAAGACTCCTTGAAAAAATAGAGTCGGGGCTGGCGACCCGGTGGTATTCCCATGAGAGGGTCCGACAGGATTGTCGACCGTTGTGGATGGGACCCTGTGATCTGTGTAGCGGTATGTGGAAGCTGGCGGCTTGTGTTGATTTCTTTCGCTTGCTGCAATCTGCTGAGCCAATGCCAATCGCTTCGACACCGAGAACCTGCCTTCTTTGGCCATGAAGCACCGCCGCCCGTACAACAGCCGAACCCCCCCGTGTTTTGACCCTAACTCAGCCCTTGAAAATCTTCAGTCCTAGCCATAGAACCAAGAATGGAACAGCTTTAGTAAGAAAACCCGTGCAGGCTAAACCTAAACATCTGCGCCTAACCTACAACAACCGGGCCCTAACCAGCCCAATATTTCTCAGGCCCTGCGGTTTAGGACTCGGCTTCAGGGGTTGTTGCCGTTGGAGTAGGGTTTCGAGTCTCGGCAGGTGCCGGACCCTAGGTGTTTACGTTTATGTTGTTGTGGCGACGGGAGTCGGAATTGTTTTTCAGGTTTTCGTTTTTCTGCTTCCGATTCAATGCTTGTGGCAGGTCATTTTCAAAAATTGAGCGCAGAGCATTGCCACATCGTGTGCTGTCAGAATCAGTGCAAGTTTCGCGGTCGTCATTGTGGCAGAAGAAGACTTCGGAGCAGGAGCAGGAGCAGGAGAAGCGACATCATCCGCATCCTTATCGTCCGTGCAATCATGAGCATTTTGGCAGCTCGAGCATCATCTTTTTTGCGGCAGCGTCAGCTGCAACAGCACGAGGGTGTAGCAGGATGCGAAAGGGATCTGATGATGCTTGAAGGTTGCTGTCAAAAATGAGTTGTTTTTGAATGCTCATGGAGGCCCTGGCGCAGGGGCCACGAACTGGAGATCAGCCTTCGAGTTGCTTGGCCTGAAAAGCGAACAGCAAAGGCAAATGTTACTTGCTGCCACATGCTGAGCGTATGGTTTACCGTGCCTGAAGAAATGAAGAAATATGGCCACATGGCAATGTGTCATGTGGCAATATGGCTGACCGAAGATATGCCGGCCCGGGGAGTACGATGTGCATCAATTGCATCCTGGGTTCAGTCCTGTCCTTCTTTACACAATACGAAGAAAGGTCAGACCTCAGTGCGCGAGATGACGCTTGCAATGGCGGCGGCGGCGGCTGAGGTTCGTGCATCCGTGACAGAATACACTGGGCATGATGAGAGCATCCATTTTCTGCTTGAGCATGCAGACATTTGCTTGCATTGACGTGCCGATGCCAATACCATGCGAATCGGAGGTGCCGACGACTTTACCGCAAAAGAAGCCCCAGCAGGCCGCCGCCCGACTTTGAGCAGACCGTCGTAGGATTTACTGTATGTTTTGGCAGGAGACCACCAGGAGCGCGGAGGAGATTCTGAAGGAGCAGATTCGCAAGGCTGATGTGCACTGATGTGCAGAGCTCATGTGAAGATCGGGCGATTGTCTCGAAAATGCCGAGTGCAAGCTTGATATCGCTCTGGTGCAGGCCCAGACCGAAGCCACGACGCGCAAGACAGCTCCCATCGTGAAGTCGGGGTCTCTTGAAACTGTCCGAGGTTGGTACCGTGAAGTCGTCCAACGGAAACCTAAATGCCTAAATCCTACGTAATATGACAGTTGACCAGTTGCCGGATGAGCCTGCATGTCTATGCCATGTCTGGGAGACAGCATTTGCAATATCGCGACCGGTGTCAAACCAAGGCAGCCGCCAACTGTCAGCTTTGGTGGACAGTCAGCACCTTAAGTCAAGCGGGTCCTTCGAAGCAGTGTCTGCTGCTTCTGCGTCCAGACTGTTTACACGTGCCGGAATGCCCGCGAGCCACAACCGCTCAGCTGCGCAGTCCTAGTTCTTGTGTCCAGTGTGCACATTCCTTTTGCACCCAAGTGGGAGGCAAGATGCACGACCAGCGCCCTTCACTGAGCTTGGTGCAGCACTGCGTCTCAAAGATATCCAGCTGGCCGGTTCATGGAATGTATCGTGACCGCAGCATGTCTTACCATCTTTGTCCTAGCATCCTGAGGGCTATGGAAAATGATGGCAACCTCCCGAAAGGCCGGGCCTCTGCGTGCAGGCACTCCGCCGGATCAAGACTTTTACGGAGGGCAGAGCCTGCAGGCAGTACGGTTCGCGTTGTGGGGTTCCCATCTCCGGACGTGGATGGCTGCGGGGCCCCTGATGATGCCATGCGCCCTTGCTCCCTTCTGGCTTCTAGCTTCACTGCAACTTCCTCGTTTTCTGGAGGGAACTCCGGATTCTCTTGAGAGGAACTTTCTATAACGTCAACGAGGAACCCACTGCTCCTTGAAGTCTTTGGCTCGAGCCAAGAGCCAAGTCAGAGCTGTCTGCCATGACTGCTCCATGAAGGCCGGAGCCGGAGTGAGGCGCCTCGTCTTCTCACGGGAGCACCGGCACCACCCTGGCCCTGAGAGGTGAAGGTTGTGCGGAAGCGAAAGCCGAAGGAGCCGAAGGAGACAGAGAGTGCTCCGAAGGAGCCAGCCGCTTCATAGCAAGCTAAGGTGCTGCTGCACTGCGCCAGCCGCCTGACAGCTAAGGCACCCAAACGTAGTGGACCCTTGTTAAGCCAGAGAGGCAACAAGAAAGCCAAGGCCGCCACGTTCCTGTTTGCACGTGTCCTTTGCTATGCCGTGAGAAAGAGACAGTACTTGTAATAGCAAGCCTTATCAAGCGAGGCTTGTGCCTCGCTTGCGCCTGCCACGCATCCCTGCGAAGGCTCCCCTTACAGTTTCTCAACGACAAGCTCGCCGCATGGAGACAACATGATCGGTGCATGCTTCTGGAAGGCAGTGTTGTCATTGACATATGAATCGCAACATGCGCGGTTGCGGATGTTCATGTATGTATTTGTACATGTGGCCATCCGCACATGTGTTATGGGCATGTGTGAGTATCTCGCCTGTTCGTATGTATGCATGCATGCATCCATGCCTGCATGTATGCATGTGTGTATGCAACACTGTCTGTCTGTCAGTCTGTCTGTCGGTATGTACCTATGTACCTATGTCTTGTCGAGCACGAGTGGCAAAAATGCATGTGCACATGCATGTATGTATGCGTGCATGCATGGACGCACGCATGCATGGACGCACGCATGCATGTACCCAGATATGGGACAAGTTCGAAGATTGTACGCGTCTGACAGTTCGAGTGTTCAGCCGATTGCTATTCGCCAGATAATGTTGATGAAAAGCACAGCCGCACTGCGAACATAGCGAACTCAAAGCAGCACAGGGCAGGCATGAGGTTTCTTCTTTTGTTTGTTGAGCTGGGCACAGGTCCCTGGGCTCGGGGCTTTGTGAACTCTTCAAGGTCTGGGATTCGTGGGCTGGCCGATGTTATGGCTTGAGCTCGAGGCCCGCCCGGGCAGGTTTCAGTTCCGGTGTGCGGTCAGCTGGTGCTTCGGGCGCGCCCCCCTTGCAGTGGCCGTAGGCGTGATGGTTCCTGTCCGGTGCCAGAACCATCCCAAAGCACCTTAGGGGCCCACACTTTACATGCCAAGTACGGCTGGCTTTGGCAAGGTTTGGCGCGAGCGCCTAACACGGTCACAAACGCGGGGGCCCTCGAAGTTGTTTTTCCTAACGCTCTCTCCATCAAGCAGGAGCCATCGAAAGTGTGGACTCCTATATCTTTTGCGCGACGCACGGATTGAGGAGGAGGGGTCGGAAGCAGGAGGGCCAGGGGTCGTGGAGGGATCGGAAGCCGGAGCTCTGCGCTACCCAAAGAAGGAGAAATCACGCCATTAGCCTTGAAGGCTGAAAACTGCATGCTTTTCCAAACGATGCCGTACAGTTTTCTGCATCCTTTGAACCGAACATGTATGTGGCATGTTCGTATGGTATAAATAATATCACCTACATCATGAATACATTGAAGGGCCTACACCAGGGGCCCATGGGTTTAACCTTCGATTCTGCAAAGCTCATGCAGAAGTCTTGGGTGTTTTTGTCAGCAGCTGCTGCATGCAGCAGAAGCTTTTTGCAGAGGTTCTTGCTGCAATTATAGGCCAAAGTTGCGCAGCAGCTATGCGGCGGTGTTGTGGTTATGCATCGAATCAGCCTGTGTGGCACGTGACACCAGCAAGCTGCACAAGCCCTGGATCATGCACAATAATCATCTTGTGAACACTCTCGCAACTCGGACTCCGCCAGACGAGGTCTCTCGATAGGTGTCACACGTCTCGAGAGACCTCGTCTGGCGGAGTTCGAGTTGCGAGAGTGTAATCATCTTGTGAACTGCAGCTCGTAGCACTAGTGCTGCTGCCTGTAACTGCGCCTCCGAATGAAGGCTCGCTTAGGACATCGGACTGACTGAAGAATCAGGCTTGCAGCCTCCGAGCCATGCAACAAAACAAGCTGCAGTACAGTATGTGTAAGCCTTTCGGCTTGCAGCGTTTTGTATCAGTTCTTTTTGGTTAAACTGTCGAATTCGGCATCCGAATAGAATCTGAATCGAATCTTGCCCAACAGAGTTCACCATCGTTGCAGAACTGGGGTCCACAATGCAAGGACTAAATCCAAAAGATACAAAAAACCACAAAAGCAGACAACAAGTCTGGATGTTGCCACATTGGCCCGTGTAAGTCCCGTACCAGCAAAACGTGGGAACAGTAGGCCTGGTCGTCATTTGCGAAGCTCCGCATGTCTAGAAAAACAGGAAGGGAGGCCGGGGAGGCTTGGAACCAAAGCAGAGAACGACGGAAAATTTGTTCATCCTAAAACAAGAGAGCCGATATGCGCTACTGTCTTGATGCGGTTGCCTCGCTCGCTTGTTTTTGCCAAACTTGCCAAGCGGGCAAGCTGGCAAGCCCGGAGTCCGTGCTTGCTCCCCCTAGTTGCATGCATTCGGAGTTCACGGCTCGCTGAGATTAGAGCCGTTTAGCACAGGTAATTGTTAGAGATATGTCATGCTGTGTCAGACCCAAGGAAACAGACGCTTAACAGAGCAGTTCCGCGACGATCGCCTCCGAGCATCCTTCGGGAGGTCCAGGGACCACGATCCTGTGAAACGAAAGCGCTTGGGCAGACATGGCGTTTTTGCACGCTCAGCTGGCACGGGCATGCTTCCACGCGTGCAGCCATTTTCTGAGATCTCAGGACGTCCTTGATTCCGGAGGAGCTGCTTGGTGCATTAAAGGAACTTTGCCCTTCTGGCGCGTTGTCTCTAGTTTGGTTCAGTTTGGATTTCAGCATCCTTCAACTTCCTTCCTTTCATCGGTTCCCCGTAGGATTACATGGTTCCGTGATTCCGGTCAGGCGGAACAGGAGCCTGTGGTTCCGCTTGTTCGATGGTTTTTGGCCTAGGATCTCAACAAATCCAGACCTCTTCATACCTGCATCCTTCGGGAGTTGCCAGCCACAGAACGTGGAGATGTCAGTAAGGACCGAAGAACCGCACTGCCTTCAACTCACTTCCTGAACTCTTCTGAGTCTGGTGGGTTGGTGTTCTGTTCGAGGCTGTGGGAAGACGGGCAAGAAGTTGCTCCGACCAGGAAGAAGGAAACGGCCTTATTTACGTTGATGGCCGATGCTTGATATCCTTGCGATGATTCAGCAAACGAGATGGTTGTCAAGGTGAGCAAGCTTGGGGAGAACATCGAGGCACTTTCAAAGAAACCAGATGCCCAGCTTTCTGATTTGCTGACGAAGGCAGGGTGGACAATTCTTACACTTAGTGTAGTTGTTTAGACTCAATGGTTTTACGTTTGCGCTTCAGAAGTTGTGCTGGTGATGTTTCAGGTGCATACGGGGTCATGGCAAGCAGTTCGCATCCAGGATAGTTCCAGATGTTTGTGGATCTGATGCCCCGCATCCACTGCCCATCGAAACCAGAGACACTGCAGAGGCACTCCAGAACATGAGGAAGGGCCTGTGAGGTTCAATAGTTGTGAGATGGTAGTGACCTGGTAGTGAGAGATCAGTGATGACGCCAGACCGGAGCCCTGGTCGTTGACATCATCAGGTAACGGGTAAGCCATGGTAAGCTTACTTGTCGACACGACCAAGGGTTGGTGTAAAAGGCGTTGTCGCTGGCTCTTGGAATAGTTCCTAATTCAACCAATGCTTTGCGCCGCAAAGACCTCAGGCCTTCAGAGACACGGGGCACGGCGGCCGTTACGGCTTTGCATCAGAAAAGCTGCATGTTCCTGTCTTGCTGTGCTTTGCTGTGCCGAGCTGGGCAGCCAGACTTGCCTGAGGCACTGGGACGGTTACCGGCTACGACCCTCAAACCAGCCGGTACAATGCCAGACACCCAAATCGACTCAGCGTTCCCGGCATGCTGCCCCGTTTTCGCTTTTCCTTGATATTCAGGTGGATGTCGAGACGCCGTGGGGCTCAGACATGCTCCAGCTGTGCAGAATGCAAGAAGCGAAGCAAGGCTTGTGTGCTTTTCCGAGAGGCCCGGTGGAGATATCCAGATGATGTCGCAATAGCCTCAGCAAAGCGTCCCACCAGAAACTGCTGGAAGATATGTCGCTTCCTACAGCTGGCAGGCTACGGGAGGAGTACTTGCAGCTCAGCGACAAGGCTCGGTGAACTTGGCCTGCGTCGCGTGGTTACAAGCGTGCCGTGCCAGGCCGCTGCAGACGGTGGGAAGGCCTGTCCCCTGTCCTGCTGATCGTTGCCATTGCCGTGATTGTACGGTGGTGGCCAGATGCCCGCAGGCTGCGCCAGCTGCACCACCCCCACAGCTACCAGGCAGGTCTCGACACCGCTGAGTCCAAGTCCATTGGGTTCACACATCGGTCAACGTTCCAGCGTGAGCTTCGCGAGGTGGCAGCAGTCAAGGCCTGCAGAAGTCAGCTGCTGATGCTTTGAGGCCGTTGAGGGTCGCAACACATCGCAACCCCAAATGCGTTTCTCAGCATTCTGCCCCACAGAAATAGCTGGAGGAAGTTTGGCCAATTGACGCCCCAGCACGGGTCTTTGCTCCGACCCATCCGGTCATTGCATAGGAGACACAGTTCATATCCGTAGATCTTAGGCAGGGAGCGAACAACTGGCCGGGTGCTGAGCGGGATGACTGAACTAAAGGTCTGTGCATGGTTTGCAGTGTGGTCAGGCAGATGTCGCAAGGAGGCAGCAGCTGTTCCAGAGAGACTTCGGTCGCATGGGGCTGAGCTGTTGCCTTCAAGCCAGGTGGATGCCAAGCAGGGGGACAAACCAGGCAGGATTTTTTTTTGCTCATTGCATTGCCCACGATACCTGCTGCGCGTGTGCGGTTCCGAGGCAGCAGCAGCTACAGGCAAGCATTGCGCGAAAGCTGTCATGCAGCTCACAGCCTCGTGGAAACCGGTCGAGGCCATGCAACAGGCCCAGATGGGCCCCGGCCTGGCACACAGCATGCTGGCGTGCATCGCAGGGCATCACTGAGATACATGTCGGGTGAAGGAATGTTGCTGCAGGAGCCATGGGTAACATGGCAGGTGCTGGGCAGATGAGGCCCGGTGCCTTGCGGTGGTGGACTTGTGGTCGATGAAAGTTGCTGGTGGGCTGATTTGCGACATGAGGTGGATGTCGTTTTTCTTGATACCCAGCTATTGTCCAAAACGATCACAAGCAGTGCCCCCAGGCACAAGCATGAAGAGGTATCCTGACAGTATTTTGATTTAGTCTACGTGCCTGTCAGTGAAGCGATTGGGGTATTCAAGGAATGGTTTAAGCTGCGATGCAATGCACAGAGAGCAGACCAAGAATCAATGTGGCTTGCACCTGTGCGTCGCTATGTCGGACGGCGATCTGTTAGATAGATACGAGCTGGCGAAGTCACGGCGTCCTGAGGTGACTCGGCTTCGTTTCGTGAAGATCATGCCTTCCGCATGGCATATCATGGCATGAGAGCGGCAGCTTCACAAATTAAAGACAGAAGCACCGGCCCCCTGCCGGGTGGACGAGCCAGCCGCAGCTAAGATTGAATCCTTGGGCGACGAGCTGAAGAGGGATGGCATCGAGGTGGATGAGCAGGCGGTGCAGCTATTGCAAGACTGTCAAAGTTGCTCCTGGTCGGACTGGATAGGAACTACTTGCCTTCCTCCGTGCCACGAACTTTGACCAGCAAGAAGCACGGGCAAGGCTCCTCGACACAACGGACTGGCGCGCTGCCACCTTGGTCAAGGACTTGTGTGCTGCCAGATAGTCAGACAGTTGTTCACACGAGCTGCTGCATGCTAGGAGAAGCTGCACTGCAGCGACTGGCGTGCAAAGGAGCTCGCGATGAGAAGTATCCTGCTGTATGTGCCATGCCCGCACCAATTTGAGCTTGTGTGTTACTTGTCTCTGGTCGCATGCATCGCTGCCGCTGCATTGAAAGGATTATGTGGGTGCAGACAAACATGGGCGGCCAGTCCTCATAGAGAGGGTCGGAGCTTGGGACATCCAGGCTGTGCTCGATGCGACCGAAGACCTGGAGAAGTTCACCATATTGCATGCTATGGCCGACGAGACATTACTGCAAATGCAAAGGCCGGCGACCGCTACAGATCCGCGTGGGTTTGTTCTGATCGTTGACATGGAGGGGCACCCTGGCTCAACATCAATCTGCGGTTCCACATGCCCCTGAAGCATCGGGACTGCTTTCTCAAACTTGGGATGCATCACCAGGCTTGGCATTTGGCACCTTCAACCGCGCCTTATCTCAGCCTTTGCTGCAGTTAGCCAGCAACCTGGCTGAAGATGGACACTTCAAGGCGCACACACGCACACACACCAGCATTGCCAGACGCAGGAGACCATTGCAACAGCCGTAGCAACTACATGGTGTGTAGACGGGAGACTTGTGTTCCCAGTGACGATGGCAGATCATGTCAAACTTCTTTAACTTCAACCACCTCGACATGTTGACATCCTTTTGGCCCTTTGGCTCTCAATCTTGTTTCTCCGTCGTACGTGCCCTATGTAGCAAAGGAATCAGCGTACCGCCTTGCTCACACTACCGTATCTGCGTCGCAAGCAGTCCTTGCAAATGCTTCTTGCCGTAGATTACCCGAAAAACCGAGTCGCAGCAGCTACCAGCAAATCCCGTAGTGTGGTTGTCTTTTACTCCGAACACATTGTGACCAAATGGCTGCTGTTGCAGACTACTGACTAAGGCCATATTATGGCATGGTTCTGCTGAGTGATCAACATGGTACTCTCGGTCGATAGGTTCGGGGCACTACAGTCACCTGAAAGGTTGACTGTGCAAATGGTGTGCGGCTGAGGATAGATGAATCGCACTATCCAGACACCGTTGCGCATATTTTCGTGGTGAACGCTCCGTGGTACTTCACGTCTCTGTTCCTTG